CTTCCTTGCGGAATAAAGCCACCCTTGGCAGGGCTGGGGGCATCAACATTCAGGAGCTCTAGGCTGCGGTCGGCACTGACACCTACGTTTCCCAGGGAAGAAGGGCGGTTAGTCGCGTGAGCAGCAGCACGGAGACGGTGACACAAATACTGGTTGGGCATATTTGGTGCACGTGGAACTGCAGCGGGTTTTGGCTGCACATAAAAGGCTCTTTAAAATGGGGTGTAGAGATGTGAAATAATCTCATTCCAAATAATTTATTGCAAAAATCTCAAGTAGGCTCTCTCTGCCTATATACTTTTGAGGAGTCTTGCATTTTTGAGTTCTACCTCTAGTATTTCCTGAACGAACTTTGAATAATTGGTTTGCTTTTATTTCTGGCTCTTTGCCTGCCGAAGGCAGTGAAATGAGGCTGTTTCCCTCTGTTTTCGTTTTGACCACCATCCGCTTAGGATGGTTGCATGTGGGATATCTAGTGCTATACTTTTTCTCTGCTCTGCTTCTAACAATATTCCTTCCCCCCAAAAATAAGATACTGCACCAAAGCTGAGACTAAGCCCCTTGCTGTCCAAGGGGAGGTGGTGATAGCCCTGCCTTTCCTGCTCCCTACTGTTTTCCTGTTCATTAAAATAAGCTCCCTGGAGCAAGATGTGTCTCTGAACTACATGCGGTCACCTTCACCTGACAGGTGTCAGATGTTGCTTAAACTAAATGATGTTACAAATTGTAATAGCAATAATTAGTAAGGACAGGGTTAAAAAGTAAAAATGGTGTGGAAGGAAGTGATTTTTAAACTGGTGGGGGTTTTTATGACCAGGAAGCAGAAACCAGTGAGTGGATGAAAACTTCTATGACAAGTTGTGCAAAATCACGGAGATCTTGGCACCTAGTCTGTGAGGCTGCCTGGATGAGAGCTCTTCTGTTTTGAGGTGCTGCAACCTAGTGGATATGGAGAGGACTTCTCTCTCAGCAGAAGGCAGCATGATTCACAGCCCTGAGGAGCAGGAAAGCCCCTGCCTGCCTTTGCCTTGGAGCTCACCTTCGGTCACCTGCAGGTAGACTGCCATGGTTTCCCCAAAGAGGCCATTGTGCTTCACTCCACACCAGTACCACCCTTGGTCTGTCTTTGCCACTGAGTCAAAGCTCAGGATAACCGTCTTGTTGTCAGTGTCACAGGTAACGCCTGGCCCCGGCTGCTTTTGGTCAGAAGCAGGCATGGGGATGAATCTGGTGCTGCTCCACTTGCACCAGTACTTCTGGTAGGAGTAGTACTTGCATGGATAAGAGCAAGTTAAATCGACCCGTGAACCCACTTGCGCGTCCACTTCCTTCTTTCCCTTCAGTCCAGGTTCTCCTGCAAGGGCAAACAGAACATCAAGGCTGGCGTTAGTGGTTTCAGTGGTGGGAACGGTAGTCAACAGGCAGTGGTGCTGCTAGACATGATGAACCAGGAGATGTATCTGAGGGAAAGTGCTCCTTACATTGCTAAATCAATGTTAAGGATGCTGTATATGCATCTCTGGGTGAAAGCTTGGGGTTTTCTTTGCAATGCTTAAGAAATACTTGCATGAGAAATTTTTGTGAACACTTTCCCATAAAACTGAAACCTTGTGTTTCCATTTTAAAGCTACTGGGATGTGGGGGGATTGGCACAATGTTTCGCCTTATGAGACAGAAGTTCAGAGTTGGACCTCAGATCTCTTCCTAAAAAGCCAGATCTGCTCCTTTGTGGTGCTTAGGAGGTTGTTTTCTCCCTGCTGAGCAGGCAGAGAACTGCCAACGCGCAAGCTCGTACCGCCTATGATCTTCAGCTCAGTTGACGATTGCTGCTCCTTATCCTCGTCTGTCATGCACCAGTAATAGCCTTCGTCACTGTCCTTCAGCTGGTTCAGGATGATGGTGATCGTCTTGTTATCTGGGCTGTCGTACATGGCCACTCTTCCTTCATACCGGTCCGACACATACCCGGAGCTGTCTATGATCCGACTGCACCCGTTCTTTCTCCACTTGCACCAGTACTTCACTGACGACTTTTTTAGAGGCTCATAGTGGCATTCAAAAGTTACTGAACTTCCTTCTACTCCGATTATTGTGGGCTTTGCTTGAGGAACATTTGTCTCTGGAGATAAAAATGAAATGAGCAGCTATACATGTCTAACTTTTGCCCATGTGGCATTCTCCCAAGAGAATAAATATCAGATCAAACAAAGCTGTTTTGGCTAAAGCAAGGCTAGGTGAAGCTCAGGGGTGCAGGTGGTAGGAGGCTGTCCTGGCACTGCTAGGAATTGACCCTAAAGGGTCTGTCACGCCTTTCTTTTTCCCAAATTCACTGAGTGGTTGTTGTCTTTGTGTACCGACATTTCAAAGTTTTGCTCCCTTCGCTAGGGGAAGGGCTCCTTTCTACATCTGTCATTTTGAGATTTAAGGAATTAAGACTTGAAGGGACAGTTTGCTTGTCTCAAACTGGTGGGCAGAATTTGCCTTCTGGAGTTTTGGGCTAGCCAGACTGGGGAAGATAGCTAGCCACTGCTGGGAAAGTTAAGTCTTGATACAAGCTTTATTAGTGATGGTTTAGTACATTAGAGAGAGTTACATGAATAGAAGGAAGTATCTAGATGAGAGGATAGGATAATAACACTCTGCAAAGGGAAACTAAAGTTCTTGTTAAATAAAATGAGACTGTTAAATAAAGTGAGACTGCTAGTGATCCTTCTAAAGAGAAGCAGAGATGAAGAGAAAAAACACTGGGAATAGCTTACTCACCCTCATAGACATGCACGTCCAGTTCCTTCGTTTCTCCGCTCTCCCCATAGAAGCCAGCCCCGCACAGGTACAAGCCAGAGTCTTCCCAGCCCATCTGAGTTATCGCGATGCCGAATGAGCCTGGAAGATCCTCATTGCTCAGCAGAGCTCGCCCTGTGTAACTCTTATCGACATTCCCATAACTATCGATGATGTTATGGCAGCCGTTTTTCTCCATCTTGCACAAGAATTTCCTCACGCTCTCATACTCCTTCCCAAAGCTGCAGGACACGGTCAAAGTGCTGTGCAGCTTCACATAGAAGAGCTCAGCTCCCTCGGGTACATGCGGACCTGTGCATACAGAGACATCAGTCAGTGTCTACTGCCTGCTCTGTCGGTAACGGTGTGCAACTCCCCTATACCTCTGAAGGCTTTTTTTTAGCATAGGGTTTCTCTCTACTTTGCTATATTATGTGATCATGTGCCACTCCTGGTCAGAGCATGATCTACCCAGTTGTGTCCCATGTCTGTCACACATTTCAGGACTGAGGTCTCTATGCTATATCACTGCCCGCTCTATAGCGGGGTTTCTCCCAGAGCCTTCTTGCCAGGGGCCGTGCTATGAGTTTGCACCGTGCTCTGCACCCTGGGCCTTGCCCAGAAGTGTGGTGCCGTCCTGCACACTGCGTTCTCGTGGACTTGAGCACAGGTTTGGCTCGCACAGCCTTAGCCGTGGGTTGGAGGGTACATCAGAGTGATGGGCAGTTCTGCCCCCTGACTGCATTTCCCTAAACTTTAATGGCTGAGAGAGGTCAGCAGTTTCTAAGCAGTGTTTGTGATCTTAAGATGAGGTTCGTTTAATCTGATTTTTATGCTATGTTTTTAGTCAAAAAATTCATTCTGTAAGAGTACAGGGGAAAATGAAAACTGCCGGTTTCCCAAAAGCATGGAGGATCTTGAGCTCTTAGACACTGGACAGACTGTCTGTGGAGCCTTATTAAAAAGGGAGAGGGGGGAGAAGTAAAAGAAAATAATACTTTAAGGAGCCCTAAGACTGTAATTACCTTTAGAAACATCCAGACTGACTTTGTGGGAGAGCCCTCTGCCATTGATACCAACACCGCACTGGTAGGTGCCTGCGTCTGCCATTGTAAGCTCAGAGATGTTAATCTGGAAGTTTTCTGCCTGTGGGTAGTCAGTGATGGAGACTCTGCCTTCGTAGCCTGGAGCAGTGTAGCCGCTGGTGGAGACAACGGTCATGCAGCCCGTGGCCGATTGCCTGCACCAATACTTTCTGTCGTGTCTGTTCACGTGGGTGGGAGGGTAGAAGCATTTCACTGTAACCGACCCATTGAGCAGACCATATACCTGCCGTGGTCCGAACACAGGGCTGGAGACTGCAAGAGGAAAACATGTTGGCTGTAAATGTCAGCTGTGCTGCACAACCCGATGGGACTGCGGAGCAGGTCGGGAGTACCGGGGCAAGTGCGGACCCAGGGCTGTGCAGCATCATGTGGTCTGAAAGGTCCCATGGCAGTGATGGGCACTGATGGGGTAGAGACACTCTCTGAACCCTGCTCCCCCCTTAGTAACACCACCTCTGGTCTTAGGCCACCCACAGGATCTGTGCCCCAGACAAGTTACACTTACTTGATGCCTTGGGGGCGTATCTGCTGCTTGCAGATTCAGCTGGGAGGAAGGCAAGCAGGAAGATGAACGCTAATAAAGTCATTTTTCTTGCATTCCCTGGAAAAGGCACAGAAGTTGGTGAATAATCACATTTGCAAAATGATTAAGTTAACTGATCAAGTCATCTAATAATCCTTGTGCCTGGAGGATACGAGGGTTGTGGCTACTTGAGCTAGAGAGAAATATAGCACTTAATCGCTTCTGTCAAGCAACTGAATGGGAAAGAGGGAGTTGATAACTCTGTTCTTGGCTGTGTTGCTGCATGACATCGTGACTGCCCGTGGGTCTCATCCCAACACCCCAATATTCCCTTCTGTAAAACAAGGGGAATTGTTCTTATGACGAACTCGGTTAATGCAATGCCTGCAAGCCACCAATGTGTCCGTCAGAGCGGAGTGTCCCAGGAACAGTATCCCACAGACAGGCAACAGTGGTGGCGTGCACAGCGTAAAAAGAGATTTTGGCCAAATCAGAAGAGACTTGATTCAAAATCAGAAATGGTATCTGTTTAACACTCGTAAATCAGAACAGCCCATCACAAGGCTGAAGTCCAAAAATGGTCCAAAAGCCGCTGAGCCCTGGCAGGCATGAGAGTCAGGTGGCAATCTGGAGCTCAACTGCTCACTTGACCCTTGCCAGGAGATAATGCTGCTTCTAATAGTTTAATAGCTGGGATCATATTTTCTTTCCATGTTGTTCATGCACTGAAAGGAAGGCTTGTTCACTTGTGAGCACGAGTGCCAAAACCACTCCTTAGGAAAACCTACTCTCACAGAATGGTTTGGTTTGGAAAGGACCTTTGAAGATTATCTAATCCAACCCCCCTGCAATGGGCAGGGACATCTTTCACTAAGTCGCGTTGCTCAAAGCCCCATCCAACGTGACCTTGAACACTTCCACTGATGGGGCATCTGCAACTTCTCTGGGCAACCTGTGCCAGTGTCTTACCACCCTCACTGTAAAAATTTCTTCCTTATGTCCAAATTTCTTCCCCATGTCATAGAGCAGAGTTCCCGTCTGAAGCCTGTATTTAATTACTGCTCTTTGTTTCCCTGATCTCTTCAAAGACACACAAAAGAGAAAGAGTAATATTTTTCACCTCTACTTTTTTTTCTTTCCTCAGCTGCTGGTAAAGTCAGTGAGATGCAGGGATTTACCCCTCACCCCTCCAACAATCAGACTTAAACCAATAAAGCACTGTCCCACCTGTATATCCAACAAACCTACTGCACCAAAATTAACCCTTGGCCAGGACTCAAAATTATTTGGGTATGTCAAACCAAACTGTGTGTCTCTTGAAATGTGTCCGTAGTCTTCAGGATGAATGTTTCTGACCTTCCCCTTGTCTTGGACTGAGTGATGGCTCAGAGGAAGCCAAGGCTCTTAATTCACTAAACTGTTTTCTTTGGCCTGGACTGAGTGTGCTGTCGGACACTGCATGGTGCGGTGGTAGGAATGTGCATTTCCTGAGCATGGCTGTTGATCTACCTGCATACTCCAAGTTCTAGAGAAGATGATAGGTGCCAAGGAAAGCCTTTGTAAATATTTAGAAGAATTTGATTTCAGGGCGTCAAGTGCGCAATTTTATTAAGGGTAATTCCCGGTAGAAGAAAAAGGCTTTTATTTCCGTGTTAAGATGAAAGGTGTTCTGTTGTGCTTTCTTCCTTGTATTGTGATTTCTAATTGCTCAGTGGCCACTTGTCCATGGCTAATAATTAACTCCCTGAGCATGAAAAATGCTCTTTCATACATATCCCAGAAGTAGCCAGCAAGACAAACATAACATTCTGCAGCAAGCAAACAATATGGCATAAAAAGGACCTTGATATTTGCCCCTTGTTAACAGCAGTTCCTCTGGCTGATGGTCACCTTGCTGCCCTCCAGCCCACGCTCTGTAGTGCAAGCAGGATCCCAGTTCAGCTTTCCCCTTCTTGGCAAAATTTGAATAATCGGTTAGTCTGATTCTTTCCCAAAGCAATCGGCTACTTCAGGGTTACTGACAACATCACTTTGTCAGGTAGGGAAGGATTACCGAGACCTCTTTTCTGAAACAAAGATATAACTGTGTCCAGAAAGATGTGTGCAAGCGTGGTGGCATCAGGGTCTTCGTGTGCATGTTAGAGCAGGAAAGAATTTTTGCATCTCTATCTCTGAGGACACGTGTGCACTTGTGCCCACACAAGAACGGCTCCTGTGTGCTTGCATGATCAATATCTGCAACTTCTGCAGCTCTGAGCTGCCTCTAGTCCTGTCTTCTCAGATGCTGTTAAAACCTTCCCCTGCTCACTGAATGAATGGAGAAAACTCCCATGTATAGCAAGTCTGAGCAAGCACAACTGCTGGTTACGTAAAAATCTGTGATGTACTTCCATGCTAATCCACTGAGCTGGATGCCTGGAAACCCCCTCTCCTGCCAGCGCTGTGTTGCACTCCGAGGGTTATGCTTCCTAGCCCAGAGAAATGGTGCAAACGAGCTTTGCTGGTCACTCTGCAATGAGCAAGCGCTGTTTGAGATGCTGGAGGAGAATTTCATCAAGCTGTTGGTAAAAGAGCTCTAGTTCCTTCTTGCTTTCAAAGAACACTTGCTGCTGGATTTGCTGTCTTTAGTCAGAGCACAAGGTTTAAACCTCAGAGCTCCCAGGAAGATGGAAGGCTGCTGAGCTCATATGAAAGGGAGTGCAAGTAAGTGGCTGTGCAAGTGGCTTGTATTAATGCTTCTGCAGATGGAGGGGGAGTTGAAAGGAGAGAGGAGATGGGACAGCAAAGGTTTGCAGGGGGCTATAGAAGAGCCAAGAGGCTTGAAACCAGAGGGAAATGCCATGTATGTGATCTCCAGAGCAGCTGGGAAGCAAGCTTATGACAAGTGTGCCATTAGATCTGCTGTGCTCTTATCCTGCTGTGTGCCCAGGGACGGTGCCTGCTGAAGCCCCAGTGCTGGAAAGGGTGAAGTGCCTGTGCCCAGCCTGTACTCCTCCTGCCACTCAGCTGCAGCTTCTCATGGGTCTATCCTAATTTTTCAGGAGTAGAGAAAGGGGAAAAGTAGTGCTCCTTTGTTATGTATTGGTGAAATCTTTCCTGGAGCTGGCAGTGGAGGCAAGGCTTCATTCCAGGCTTCAAACACAGATGCACAACCCTATTGGTATGTGCCCTCTGCATCTGGCAGCACCAGCTGCTTCAGAGAAAGGTGCAAAAATCTGCCCTCGGCAGTGATGCCATGACTGGTCCTGAGGGGTTTCCTGAAGTCCTGCTGGGGGTCTGGTGCTTAGCATGAAGCATGAGGCTTGAGCGCAGTGCTCCCAAAACCTTCCAGCAGAAGCTGAATTTGGTCACCCCATACAGGAGCAGTCACGCCGACTTTGCAGGTGACTGATGATCCTCCACCAGTTTTGCCTGGGGGCTGCATGACATGGCTGGTTTGGACACAGTTGCCACGTTGGGTTCCCCTCCACTCGTGTCCACATCTCCTGCTTCCTCCTCTTGCAGGCACTGACCTGCGTGTCCAGATGCCTGTGCTGGATTTCTGATCGCTCTCGGAGCAGGAAGGACTGAGCGTGTGAGACCACGGTGTCCCCATGGACTGATGGACACTGGAAACCCCTCCCGCAGGGAGAAACCTGGTCCTACCACATCGCAGCAGGACGGGTTGCCAGGACCCTGTTCGGTAGCTGATGTGCATGGCACTGTGCAGGTTGGTGCCGGCAGCCCACTCTGCGTGGCCATCGGAGCTCCTGCCTGCACCAGAGCTGCCAGGCAGGAGGGATCGCGGAGGCTGAGCAGGCTGAGAAAAACCTGGACGCACAATTTGTGCCGCATATGTCCATGCAGGCAAAGAAGCTGCTGTGTTAAACCTGATACATTAAAAACCTAGTGAGAAGCTGACTGCAAGGCAGTGCAATGGACTGGTCAGGAGGGAAAGCAGGGAGGGAACCCAGTTATTCCCAGTAGGAAAGTGTCTCCGAGAAGCTGCTCTGCAGCGCAGGGCAAAGAAGCCGTGGGTGGGAAGTGCTGGGATGGCAGCGCTCTGGGACAGCCGCCTCCGTCGGCATTTCAGGCTTCAGCTCACCTGCGCTGTTGGGCCAGTCTCTGTAGACTGCCAGGCTGTCTCTGTGGTCAGTTTAAAACATTTTGATAGGTCAAGGGGTGGGGAGGGCAATTAAAAGCTTGTACTAGTTTACCCCCACTCCCCTCGTGGCACAGGACTAGCAGAGAAGCAGCCATGGGGAAAGCTTTCAGCTGCACAAATGTGCATGTCTGGTGTTTGCAAAGTCCCTCCTGCAGCCAAAGGGCTATGTTGCCTCCTGGCATGAATCCCTAACTCCCTGTTGCAACAGTGGTCCTCTCTGGATTATTACCAGCTGTGGACTGGAGCTGTACTCCTTTTTCTTTGGGTTTTTTTTTTTAGATACAACTCAAATCTTGTTTTTGTGAATTCACTTTCCTTTTGCATCATCAGAACTGCCAGCTTCCTTCTCTTCCCTGTCCCAACGTAACAGGTTTTGAAGGTTTAGAGCACAAAACCCATATTACAGCTGAGCTTAGCAGATGGGAGTTTGCACGTTGGTGCATGAGTTTTCCACTCTTAACCCAGGCCTCTGGACACCAATGTCACCAGGACCAGCGTGATGCCGTTGTCTTGTCTGGAACACTCCGCCAGGCAGGGGTGGCTCCGTGCTCTCTAGCTGTTTGCAGTGTGCTGGTGTGTTTGGGTGTGTAATGCAACAGGGATTTCAAAGAATTATATTGTACAAAACCAGAACAGGATAGGCTAATCATCAGCAAGATTAATACTAACAAATCAAAACATTTAGTTGTAATATGCTTTAAAACAGAGGATACAGCCATTACCAGGCAAAGGGTATTAACTTTCTCCTAGCCACCCATTTCCATGCTCGGCTTGAGTTGCCATGTTCGTGACCATGAGCTTGCGAAGGGCTGCTGAAAACCGACCGAGGGCAACTGTGCAGTTGTGTGAGCGCATGAGAAACCTGGGAAGTCTTCAAGCATTAATAAAACCCAACTATATACCTATACCATAATGACAGGTAAAAACTCATTACACCTAGTAATGTGTTTCCATGATTTGGATCTTGTTGTGTTTCTTCCTACCACCTAAGTGCATTAGAGCCTGGCACTTGCACGCGCTGCGCCAAAGGGGCTTCGCTGGTTAGTGCCGAGTGAGACACGGATGTGCCGCGATGTGGGTTCAGTGTGAAAAGCCATGCAAATGGAACAAGTACAAGGTTCTTTACAACATAATGACCTTTTTTCTTGCTTTCCAACTCAGGGCAGCTAAATGTTTTTGTCGTCTTAGTATCATCTTGAGAATGAATAACACTGTTTTGATTTGGTACATTGCTATCCTCACTGCATTACGCCTCCACTGAGTGACAAAGAAATTCTAGTGCTGCGTGTAAAGCTCTGGGGAGGTTAGACCCACTCAAACCCCACAGTCAGTCTCCCTTGCTTATACGGACGTGTCTTGAAGTGTCTCGATCCATAGAAGGTGGTTCACGGTGCTTTTGCAGGGCAGTGGGAAGTTGGTCTGGAGTAGCTATGGTATGAGGCCTCCCTGGGCTGTGTTTCCCAGTCCACTGTGTGTGGACACTTCCCTGGGTTCCCCCAGTGCCGAAAGCACCGCAGGACTGGCCTGGGTTGGGAACATCACCTTCCTCTCCAGCACTATCATATGCCTAAATTTTGAAATAGTGCTTTCAGTTTTCCAGCAGAAAGTGCTCTCAGACCAGGTGAGCTCTTCTAAATATCACTCATTACAAGACCTCCTTTGGGTTTCTGCGGTGCTTTTGTGACTCTGTCAGTCCTCAGGAGGAATATCTTCAGATTTATAATGATTTGAAAGAGATCAGGACCTGACCCCTGAGTTATGCAAACCCAAGCAAGCAGCTGCTCTTGCTGGGTATGAAATACCAGAGTTCAGTTCCCAAATTCTGCTGACTCAGCTGCAAGGTTGAGCCTAGAGAAACTGGTACACTCCTAACACGGCTTGCCAGGGATCAGCACAGTCCAATCCATTAGCTATTAACTGTTGCTCTTAACAATGACCAGTGTCAAGGACGTGCTATGACATCAATGAAACATGAAGAGTTAGTTGCCGCATTTGTAATTCTAGCCTAGGAGTCCTTCTGTTTTACAGAATTCTTACTGTTATTCAAATATTTGAGAAATAATAACATATAGAATGGAGTAATATTCCCCCCCCCAAATCCTTTTGAAGCAAGACCCACTAACACCATGAGTAAGCTGCATAGATGCAAACTGTTGTAGGCGCAGGCAGTGCTGAGCAGCAGCATCAGGGGTTATGATGTGAGGAGGAGCGCTGGCACATGTGCTAGGCGTGATTTATGGAGATGCTGAAGATTTGTGTGCCTAGAAGAAGGGCACGGCAACGGAACTCTTGCTGCCCAGGCCTGGGGCTCTCTATGTCTTTATAGTGCCCATCAAGATCACTGCATAGATGGCTTTACTGTGAGTTTTATTTGCTGTGGGGAAAAGCCACCAATCCACTCCATTTTCATGGAGTTATGAATGAGCAATCAATTTTAAGATAAAAGATCAAGCTGACCTAAACACATACAGAAAAGAAAAACTTTATGTTCCAAACCAATGCCTCCTTTACAATATGGAAAGGATAAATAGGAGGTGCTAATTTTGTGATGCAGTGGGCAGAAACAGCTAGGCAGATGTTACTGAAGATTATCAGGATTTACAAAGAAATCAGCAGTTTTTAGGAGTCTCTGCAGTACTTGTGACCCTCCTAGCTAGGAACGTTTGTAAGTGCCAGTTAAACACTGTCCTATATGAGCAATATATTCTGGAAAGCAAATGAAAAAGAATAACCAA